CTTCCTTCTCCTTTGGATCTGAGGCGATCTTCTGCTTCTTCTCAGGCTTTGTCTTGCCAGCTTCACCTCCTTCCTCAGTCTTCTTTGCTTTCTTGTCTTTGCTGGACTCCTCAACCTTTGCTTCTTCTTCCTTGTTCTCTGGCTTCTTTTTGTTCTTCTCTGTTTCACTGTTCTTTGTCTTTGCCATGGTTACTCCTCAAAGATCCTTCCATGCAGGTCGGTGATTCCTTCATTCGAATCCCTGGGATGGTTTAGCGTAGTAAAAAACATCAGCAGACCTGTTCAACAGATGTTGGGAAATCGCTGGATTTTGAGCCCTTGTGACACGCAAATGACACGGGATGGCATTGATAATGAAGTGCCTTGATAATGGGTAAGTGACCCTTTGATAATCTAAATGACCCTTTGATAATGGTAAGTGATCCTTTGATAATGGCAAATGACCCTTTGATAATGGAGGTGTGACACGCAAGTGACACGCATTGACACGCAGTCCACGATGAAAAAAACACGAAACACCGCCGATCATCGATTGCATATAAAAATTGATTTTCAAGCTTTCTGCTCTCCCTCACCCCCCACCCTCCGGGCCCTCATCATCAGAATCGATATCACATCGGCAATCTTTGCTGATAAGGAGGAGGATCTTGAACTCCAACCTCGATCAAAAGAGGGCTGCCAGTGGGATGACCCTTGTATATCAACCTCAAGACGACTCTACAACAATCGCTAGCTAGCACTGCCCAGCCACTCTGTCAGATATGGTTCTAGCATCATTGCCCAGCATGACAGGCAAATACGTTCTTCGCCAAGCACCGTCAAATATTCAACCCAGCTTTCCATAGTAGCTTAGGCACCCTAGCTTGGACCAAGTTGGAGCAAAAAGTGGCTGCCAGTGATTTCGAGTTCATCGATACAAGCTTCAGAACCCAACCATTGTCGGGAGGGCCAAACATAAAATATCACACATGCGATGCACGGTTGGATTCCCAGCAACTTCAATAGTTTGATGTGGGCCCTTTTCTTGCCCATACCCAATTGATCCTGGCTAACCTAAAGTCTCACTCTAGCATGGTCATAATCGATCCAAAGCCACATTAATTAGTACTATCAGCTGCTGGTGGTATATCATATCGGTGATCTATTTCGCTTTTGGGGGTCGATGTATACTATAATATGATCATGACGTACTATGACCATGCCCACTTGCTCACAAGCGCCGCCACCATGCTTGCTCTCGACCTTTCACAAGGTCATCGATCGCACCATCATCAGATGTGGAATAGTGCTCATCGAGTGTGATATCCTGGGGCTGGCATTGTTCTAGCTGTGGGGACTATACTAGCTATTCTAATGCTTGAGGTTTGGAGACCTGCATGCTCAAGAGCCAGGTCACCCCAAGAGAAAACGATGTCTTATACATTATATATATATATATGTCGAAGAACCTTCTGACCTTTCAGCAACAGTGTCAAAGCCTTTGAAGGGGTTGAAAACTATCTTGCAAGACATGCCGTTCGAGTTTCCCTGAACCATCATGCACGCCCAGTCTCTGGATTGGGGTTAGGCTTCCCTGTGGGAGAAATCAAAGAAGCCACAGCCAGCCCAAATTGAAGAGGATAATGAGCGCTTTCGGAAAGAAGTTTCTTCCGGCCAGTCACCTGTTGTCGGCCTGTCCTCTTGGAGATCGTTTTGATGACAAGGGACTTGGATTCAGTCCTGCAACAGTGCAACAGCAAATGGAAACAGTCACCGCTGGACAAAAAGCAGGTGTTCAAACTATGATCAGGGAAAGCCTACCACACGCAGGTTTGGTTCAACATCAACACAGGTGCTGATATGAACCCGAGTGGTGTCTGGACGACCTGTCATGAGGGTGGCTTGGAATCTTCAACAAAAGGGCGCTGACCTGCAGATGAAGCCCTCAAGGGTTTGTCGAGACCCTAATGTTTCTACATCGACTTCACTGCCTGCCGAGAGAAGAAGAACAAAACACAATCAATCAAAGGGTGCTTAGATCGACTTCCTGGACCTCAAGCACAAAGCGATCAACGAGTGGTTGCATGCTAGACCTCCGATTGTAACCAGTAACAACGACCCTTCAACATCACCACCGCAACGGCAGGCAAGTCCTCGCAAGCGCCTCCTTCAACTGCTTGATTGGAATAGGACGGAAGAGGGAGTGGATCTTGTCGATGGTGCCCCACAACCTATGGATTATACAGGGTGTTCAACAATGATCGCAAACAGATCGATTAATGATATATCCAACATGCCATGGTGTGGCTTTTAACCAACCCACACCTACATCTTGATGGTTGGAGACCCATATGCCCCCATAGCAAAGGCCACCCTCCTGCACCGACCGAACCCAGAGCCACAGGGTCACCCAACCAAGCATGCGCGCCCAACATGTTCACAAGACTCACGGATGGACCTGGCATTGCACCAGCGTAGGAAATCCCGAAAGGGTTTCCATACATAGAGTACCTGTCCATGCAGGCCACTTGCTCAGATTCGAAGATTTGGATCAATCAACCCTGATGCAACCCAGAAGCTGAAGAAGCTGGCTGCTCGATGAGTATTTTGACACCACGTTTCACCGCATAGTACAAACTCAGTTGGGCCCAGTACAGCACAGGTCAACAGTCCATACATGTATCACGCGGTATCACGACTCCAAAGAGGTCACTTTGAATGTCCTCAAGTAGAACTTCCCACCAAGGAACATGTATAGCAATCTTCGGATCAATATATTCGCTAGTTGCACAGCTTTGCACCCTGGATCCCCTTCTGGTGATGATCATGAACGCTTCGTTTGGGACCTGCTGAGAAAAATCCACGTTGCGCAAGGAGGGCCTACGTGAAGCAAGCCTCCAGGACGGATGTTTCGAACCTCAGCCGGTGGCTGGGTGGCTGGATGTGCTGAAATGTTTGGCCAGCGGGACTCCAGATTCAACCAGGACCCTCCCAACCTAAACGTGAATACGCAAGCAGCAGCATTCAATATAGTGACAAATCCAACGGTTCTCATGAGGTCATGGTTGCGGGAATAGGCCACCTCAGCTGGAAACTATTGATCCAAAACTCCAACATATATATATATACTCTAACCGTAACGGTACTATAGTGGTTCACAACCCCACTGTTCTTTGCGCCGGTGAATCAACTTGAATCAACAGATGTTTGAGGTGAGGTGCATCAAATTCTTTGCCATGGAATCCCTGCATTCTCATCGCCGTACTCAAAGATGCGCAACCAGCGCATAGTTCAACCTGGGGCTTGTGCGAACATACCCTCAAACAATGAGCTGGGTGTTATGCATGTATTTTTTGCAGCTAGGGAACGAAATCATTGGGTTCTTCTGAAGGCGCCAATTGATGAAGAACAGCTAACAACGGAATGAGGTTCTGGACCCTCATGGTTCACTACTGGTTCAATGCCTGAGCCCTGCATGCAGGTAAACCACACACAGCTCCACAACGCATACATGCCCCTATGGTTTGCGGCAAAAACAAATTGGTGCATGAACAGCTTTCCAACTGCAAACCAGCTATAGTGGGGCCCATATTTTCACATCGGTAAAGCACCCCCGATTCTCGAGCGCAGCAGTTAATGCTGCTGACACACTGAATGGCTTGCTTTGAAGCAAGACTGGATCAAACAAAAGCTGCAGTACTGTAGCTCCAGGAAATTGGAAACCAACGGCAGGGATCGATTCTCATATGATCGATAATTTTGGTGGTTTGGCAAACCCTCAACAGCTACAGGAGCAGCGCACCCCGAGATCCTTTTTAGATCAGTAAAACCCCTACTTCTTGCTAGGCTTCTTAGCTTTCTTTGGACGGTTCTTCCGAGCATCCTTAACAAAGCCTTTTGGTGCTATGAAACCCTTCCCTTCAGCCGCTTTCAAGCTGTATGCCTTGGCCCCAGTGCTATTTTCAATGTACACCTTGTATGTCCCTCCAACCAGCTTCCCACTCAGTCGCTTCCTGGTCTCGACTTTCCAGTCCTGCGAGACTGCATGTGTCTCCAGAATCTCGAAATTCCTTAGCTATCAAAAACTAAAGCTTAAGATGTGGTGGTGTCTAAGCTATAGAGTGACATTTTACCATGAAACTGAGCTTAAGCTAAGCCTCCCCCGATCTTTTTTCCCTTTCTTGCCAGCTTTTAAAAGAGCTAGCTGATCTTGTGGACATGGAACTTTAGCGGAAGCATGTTCCAACGCAGTCTGTTGAACTCGACTGATTGCTACCATAAACGCTGAAAGTGGAAAGTCCTTGGCATGGACAACTTCAACCAGCGTACTTGATGTGTCAGGCTCCTCCAGTCAGTGACACTTCACTACACTGGAACCATTTGCAGTGCACACCCAGGCGCCTTGTTGGGAACATTCTTTGGTGCAGCGGGCGGTGGGTTCTTCTTTTGCGGCGTTCCTGGGCGAATCTGAGAACAGTGAATGGTACCGTTTGGAAAGTATGACCGAGAAAAACTAAAGCCTAGCTGAGAGAAGAACAGAGTGGTGGCCATGTAAGGCCTCCATGTTCCATGTTCCCAGGTCACTTCCCACCCCTACCATAATGCCAAGTCGCTGAAACTTTTCGTGCGGCGGCGGGTTGTGGGCACAGGAAGATCACGAGGGCCAACGCTTCCGGTTGGTGGCGTCTTAGCCTTGCTTTCCTTCTGCTCCTCAACACATGCCTGGGCAAATGCTTTAGACATTTGAGCTGACAAGGCTCTGATGGCTTTACCAGGATTTGTCTTCACCCACTTGTCAATCTTCATTTGTTTTCTGAACATCCTGGCTCTCTTTCGAGCTGCTAAGCTGGGCAAATTCTCTGGTATTGGATACCTTGGCCCTGGTGTTGTCCATCGTCTAATGTTTGTTTTTGGAAACTCAGCGCGAAAAGGAAGCCCAGCCTCTGCCTTTCCATTCTTTGTCTTTGAATCGCTGTTGCTGCTGCTGTTGCCACTGCTTGAGCTGTCTGAGCTGCCGGAACTGTCAGAGTCAACTTTAGTGCTCTTGCCACTTTTGCCATCACTCTCTGCATCGCTCAAGTGCATCGAGCTGACGCTGACATCATCATCCGAATCCTCCTCCGTCAAATCTACAGCCTGGACAGGTGCTGGTGACTTTTTGGCTGCAGCTTTTGCTTTGGTTTTGGCACTTAGTGTTTTCTTGCTCTCCATCAACTTAGCTTCAATTTGTTTCTTGCTCATTCCCGTTGTTGAGAATCCCACTGCAGCAGCACTTAGACATCCTTCTTGGCACTTGCCCCCATTCTTTTTGCGACCATTTGGGAGCGATATGTTTTCTCCCTTCCTCTCAACCTCAGCCTCAGCATCGTGTTCTCGACTTGAGGAATCAGGTTCTTCATTTGGGGGGCATGGATCCGTTGGAACCATTGGAGCTGCAAACAGTGCATCGAGGTAGGCCATCATTTCATCCCCGGACTCATCCTCCTCCTGCGCCTCCTCCTCCTTGGCTTCGCGAGTCTTTTCTCTGTTATATTTCTGATCCTCCTCCTTCTTTGATTCCTGGTCGCTTTCATCCTCACTCTCATCCTCCTCCTTCTCCACCTCCTTTGTTCCCTCACCTCTCTCAGATTCCTCCTGTGCTTCCTCCTCATCACTCTCACCTTCCTTCATCTCTTCATCGCTGCTCTCAGCCTCCTTCTCCTGTTCCTCCTCCTCTTCACTGTCAGCCTTTGCTTCTTCTTCATCTTTCTCCTCCTCCTCCTCCTGTTCCTCTTCACTCTCAGGATCCTTTCCTCCTTCATCCTGGTCCGGTGCATCATCTTCAGATTCGTTTGCCTTCTCCTCCTTTTGGCCTTGAGGCTTGTCCCCTTTTGGGTGGTCTTCATCATCAGAGCTCTCAGCCTCGTTCTTCTTTCTTTCCTCCTCTTCGCTCTCAGCGTCTTCCTCAGACTTTGCATCCTGGTCTTCGTGGCCCTCGAAGACCTTTTCGTTACTCTCCTTTTCTTTGTCTTCTCCATCACTCTTATCCTCCTCCCTTTCCTCACCTCTCTGAGCCTCCTTCTGTGCTTCTTCCTGATTATTGTCATCAGGCTCTTCATCACTCTCATCCTCCTTCTCTTGGATGGATTCTTTGTTGTCGCCATTGCTTGCATCCTCATCCCTTTTTTCCTCACCTCTCTCAGACTCCTCCTGTGCTTCCTCCTCATCGCTCTCACCTTCCTTCATCTCTTCATCATCTTCATCGCTGCTCTCAGCCTCCTTTTCTGGTGCCTCCTCATCGCTGGTGGAGTCATTCTTCTCCTCATCGCTTTCAGCCTCCTTTGCTTCTTCCTCACCCTTTTGTTCATCCTCCTCATCACTCTCAGCCTCCTCCTTCTTTGTTTCTTCCTCACCCTTTTGTTCATCCTCCTCATCGCTCTCAGCCTCCTCCTTCTCTGCTTCTTCCTCGCCCTCTTGTTCATCCTCCTCATCACTCTCAGCCTCCTCCTTCTTTGCTTCTTCCTCGCCCTTTTGTTCATCCTCCTCATCGCTCTCAGCCTCAGGCTTCTCTGCTTCTTCCTCGATCTTCTGTTCACCCTCATCGCCATCCTTTTCTTCTTCCTCAACCTTTTGATCTTCCTCATCACTCTCAACCTCCTCCTTCTCTGCTTCTTCTGAGCCCTTTTGTTCATCCTCCTCATCACTCTCAGGCTCCTGCTTCTGTTTTTGTTCATCGTCCTGTTCATCCTCCTCATCACTCTCAGCCTCAGGCTTCTCTGCTTCGTCCTCGATCTTCTGTTCACCCTCATCGCCATCCTTTGCTTCTTCCTCATCTTTGTGTTCTTCACTCTCATCATCGGTGTTGTTTTTCTTTTTTTTTACTGTTGTGTTCGTGCTCCATGTCAAAATCATTCACCAAAGCTCGTGGCACTGGCGGTGATCCAATGCCACTTGGTGTCCTCTCAATCAACGGTGAAGCCGTCTTCCTTTTCTTTCCATGTTTCTTTGCTTCGGTTTCCTGGCGCCATCGACCGGAATCAATGGATAGAAAATTAGGGGTCATAATGTCAGCAGGGAATGCCCATCAGCAAACAAAAGGTTATGCCTGCATCTCAGCAATTGATGTTCCCAACCTTATTTGCGGGATCCCACTAAAAGGATTCGAAGCAACCACAGGATCAAATTGGATCTGCGGGTTGTGCGCTGGCGCCAGACGGGTTGCGTGCTTTGATCTGGAAGTGTTTCACGCATCTCATTGATCCATAAATACATTAGATTCATCAGGTTTCGGTTCAACATCCCATCCACCTTTCGGATCATTAAACATGGATATCCTTTCTTCCTGCAATGCAAGCTGATCGTTCAACAGACGTTCGACAGACTTAGATGTCTTCCACTGTATGCGCAGTTGCCTTACAGAGGAACACGTAAATGTCTTCTCATTGTAGCAAAGCATTATAGAACAATACGCATGATGTGCAAGGAAGTCAAGACTGGTACATGCCTAAGCTGCTTAGAGGCCTCCAGGTTTCTTTACATATGGAAAAGGCATTTGATACGGTCATTCGATTCTGAGCGTTACCAGCCTTACAGGTACGGATTCTGACCTCTTTCAACTTGTATATGGATCACCCCTCACATGCATTTTATACCCTTCAAGCAATCGATGGGACAGATCCAAGCACATGGGGGAAGCAAACAGGGGGCCAAAGATGCCGCCTTATTGTGGACGTTGACTGTGAGCCTGGTGCTAGTTCATTTTTGGAACAAACACTCCCACACATGGCTCCACGAGCACATGGTTGTTTACGCTCATTAAATCCACCCCCGGTGGATAATTCGATCGAAAGTCCAAGCCTTTGAAGCACTCACTGACCTTCAACACATGTTGATGATTCTTCAAGCTTTCAGGTTTAAAGTTAATCTCCACAGTCAACAACCATGCTGCGACTCCAAGGGAAAAGAGGCTCCTGCGTTCCTTCGACACTTGTCAGTAGATCTGACACTGGCCCAGTGCTGCCAGAACGCCGTGTCAAAAACAACATATCTCGGTGTTTTCATGGGACACAGAGCATGGGATGCTAATACCACTGCACGCTTGATGACTCGATGTGGGACAAGGCCACATCCAGGTTAGATATTCACTTGAGCAGTGCTGGGGATGAGTTGTGTCTTTTGTGGGGAGCGTTTCTGCAGTTGGCCACGTGGTGTGCATGATGGCCAGCCTTAGAGCCAATGCGTGGCGACGCTTTGTCGGTGACTGAGGTGGACTCAATTGCGGCTCTGGCGTTGAGGAAGCGTGATTTGTTTCTCCATTCACTTGCCATGTTTCGTTGATGGGCACAATTGGATTGTCCACTGGAAACGTTTTGTGCAAAACTTCCGTGTTACGGACACCACAGCTGCTCAACCACTCATACTACTCATCATGCACCACTCATCATACACCACTCATGGTACTCATTCACCACTCCTCATAGACTGCTCATCATCACCACTCATCACATACCAGTCATCGTACATCACTCATGATGCACCACTCATCATACACCACTCATCATACACCACTCATCGTGCACCACTCATCATACATCACTCATGCACCACTCATCATCAAACACAACTCATCATACACCACTCATCAGATACGACTGATCACACACCACTCATGATGCACCCCTCATACACCAGCTCTGGTTTCAACAGCTGAAGCTCCAGGCAACTCCAGCTCCAGGTGCAGATTTCGTGGCAGGTACAGCACTTTGTGAACCTCTGTGTGGATTTCGTGGCAGGTGCAGAACTTTTGTGAACCTCCATGTGAAGACGTCGTGGCAGGTGCAGCACTTTGTGAACCTCCATGTGCAGATGTCGTGGTAGGCGGAGCACTTTGTGAACCTCCATGTGAGGCCGCTGCTGTTTGGGTGGAGGCCATCGCTCATAGGTTTGAGGATATTGCCTGAGGTTGGAGGCCGTTGCTGTTAGGTTGGAGGCCATCGCTGAGCAGATTTTGTTGCAGCTGTGTGAACCTCGACGTGCAGATTTCGTGGCAGGCAAAGCACTTTGTGCACCTCCATGTGCAGGCAGCTGCAGCACTTTGTGAACCTCCCTGTGCAGATTTCATGGCAGGCACAGCATCCAGGGAGCTGGAAGCTGAGAACAGGCTACTTGAGTCATGTCTCACTGCAGAGTCATGTCTCGCAGTCGTCTTTTACTGCGGACATATGGGACGCTGCGGTGTGGATGCGTGTTGCGCTGTAGGCATGAAATGAAGGCATGAGACGAAAGGAAGCTTTCCCCAGCAGTCTCCATGTTCTGTGCAGTGTGTTTAGAGACACAGCATAGAGGCGCACAGTCCATGTTTGTAAGAATGATTTGTGTCTCACACTCAGACCAGAATGTCAACAAAGGTCTTGGAGATTGTCGTCCATGTTTGGAAACTCGCTGTTCTGCACTGGTGCGTCGGTGTGGAGCAGTTAGCGCCGGATGGTGGTTTCGCATGCCGCACTCAGCCAAGCGGGACGCATGCCGGACGAATCGGGACTGGTGGGTTTGATTGGCTGTGGATTGAATGAAAATTTGTTTGCGTGTTGTATTTCAATTTGGTCCGACTCGGAAGCACCTGGAAGAAGTCGAAGCTTGGAGGGAATTGAGGGGCCTGCGCAAAAAGTGTTTCTGGAGGGGACATTGGTTTCAAAGGCGTCCATTGCAGCACGAAGGATGGAGAAAACCATGGGTGATTCGATTTGACAAAGCCACGGAGGTACAAACGGCTGGCAACGTTGCACACGAAGCAATCCCAGATTGGCCAATACCTCCAAATTGAAAGAATCTTTGGCCTTGCTCATCTTCACAACCTCAATCAAAAATGCAAGGTGAAGTGCTCCAGTTGCAAGGCAGGCCTGATGGTGGCCTGAGTGTGGCTCAGGATGAGTTATGCATGATAAGTAGTGTATGATGAGTGGTGTTTTGACCAGCAATTGAATGTCCTGTCCTGCATAAATGCAACCAAATAGTATCAGCATGAACTGGGCCAAACCTGCACGCTGCGAGAGGTGACTAAGCAGCGAGAGATGACGAGAGAATGACTCAAAGCAGCGAGAGCTGACTCAGCAGCGAGAGCTCCGTATATTACACTTGTAATACGAAGTGGCCAGTTCTCAGCTTCCAGCTCCACACTGGAAAGGGGCTAGTTCCCAGTTTCCAGTCCACAAATCCCGCAGTTCTAAGCTTCCAGCTCCACAGATTCTCCGCGCACTAAAGTTGTACTACAAAATTCTGCTACAAAAAGTCGCCAGTTCTCATAGTCCAGTTTGCCAGACACTCCACGTGCGACAGTTTCACTACGATGTCCGGCTGCACCAAGAAGAACAAGATTAGGGGATTCCTGATTGTGGTGATAAGCCAGCTGTGGGCCACGACGAATTGATGATGAACTTTCTCGAAGACGCACCATGGAGGCAAAGTAAATAGTGCACATACTCGTTTGCGTCAAGGCCATCTTCATCGTCCTCATCGTCAATTTCATCATCACCCTTCATCGCCATTCGTAGTCATCATGGTGCGTCAAAAAAGCACTGAGCAAACGGCCGCCATAAACGAAAAGATGACCCGGAAAGCGCTTGAACCCCATGTTCCTTGTTGAACTTGGATTAGATCTGTCCTGCTTTATTTTGGCCTTTGGGGCAGCGTGTAGGCAGCCTCAAGCAGCTGTTTCCGCTTTTGCTGTTTGTGTGTGAGTGAGGGCAGGTTGCTTGTTTGCTGAACAAAATTTTGTTTTCCCGAATCTGTTCAATGTGGCCAATCGGCTGTTCTGCAGGTCTTGCTGTTTTCACGGAAACGGTTCAACACTTCAAAGTTGATAGCGCAGCTCGCACCCACTTGGGTCCGGCTCCGGGGGTCGCGTGGCCTCGCAGCCCACCAGCTCGGTGCGGGCGGGCGGCGCGACGTTGGGAGCCACGGTCTTGGTTGGAGTGGCGGAGTGCGGGGATGTGGCAGTTAAATGACCTACTCCGACCGATGCCAAAAAAACACCAATGCTCCTGTCACTTCTAAAATTGCAAAAACAAGTTGTGATCAATAAAAGGCGACAGATTTTTTTGAAGGTGAAACTGATTGCTTTCCTTGACCATAGATGGCTTTGGCATACATGGCCTTGTTCAATTTGTTTTCCTCCAGCGCTGCACTGGCTTTGCACAAGCTAACAGAAGGGAAACAAGACAGACACAATGATCCATACGAAGGGCCACAAGAGCAGAAACAATGACCAACAAGAAGGGGGACACAGAACGCAGAGCAAGGGAGACAAGCTAGACAGAAAGCAGACACACTGTCTGATAACAAGGCGGATTCTTTTGGAAAGAATTTCGAAACTTAACAATAACCTATTTAGGGAAATGCAGAAATCACCTGGGACTAAAAAAGAATCAGAATTTGATTCTGGAAAGCGGAAACGGGCGGATGTCAGCAATGCAGGCACCTGAACAAACCACGTGGGAAACAAATAGAAATGCTGCATGGTCAGGGGAAAAGGGTGGATACCAACAATACAGGCGCGCGTGAGAGACAAAAAAAAAACAGAAATTACATTAAAGACAAATATCGATAAAGATATTCAAGAAAGAATCGAGAAACCCCACGCAACGGCGAACTATGGAATTATTGCATCGCCAACGGAAAAGGCGGACACCAGCAATGACACTCCTCACAGACAAATGAATAGAAACGCTGCGTGGTCAGCGGAAACAGGCTTGGAAATAAATGAGCAGACATGTTCCATGGCCAGCCGAAAAGGGCGGACACCAGGGGTGATGGACCTGGGAGACAAATTTTGAAACGGTACATGGCCAGCCGACCAGCAATAACACATCTCGGAAACAATTGAATAGAAAATATTGTAACGCCGGCACAAAAGGGCGGACACCAACAGACAGGACCTGACAGACAAATGAATGACCTGGGAGACACATGCATAGAAATTCTACTTGGCCATGCGGAAAAGGTAATAGACCTGGGAAACAAATGAATAGAAATGCTATATATGATCAGCGGAAAAGGGCGGATTAGCAATGTATTGCCAATACAAAAGATAGATACCCAAAAAAAGATGCAGAAAATAAATACATAAAATGATGCAAGTGAACAGAAATGCTATGTGGCCACGGGAAAAGGGCGGACACCAGCAGTTGTCAAACCTAAAAGACAAATATATAGAAATGCTACATGGCCAAGGGAACAAGGCGGATACCAGCCGTGACACAAAGGGCGGACACATTTCAAAAAAGAATTGACACAACCTGATAACAAACTATTTCTGGAACAAGAAACATAGGCGTTTTAATCCAAACAATAAAAATCGCTCATAACCTCGAATATATACTTGACCGCATCGATTTTATAAAGGATTAATAATGAAAATTTATAATCATTACATATCTATAATTTGGCATTCCAAATCGGTATAACTCAAGATATAATGCAAATAGCCTCATTTTCTCGAATGCCTCAACAAATCAATTATTTATTCTGTCGTTTTATAATATAGCCTTATATTATTAAATATTCTGGTCAATTATTTTGGATATATAATGTACTTAGATCAATAAAGTCCTAGTATAATCGCATAAAGTTATAGAATCGTTTTGGGTTGTCCTTTCTCGTTAAAAACCCCAACGCCAATTTGCATCTAATATCCATTTTTTAGCTAAAAACACACAACTACAGGAAAACAATCGGATTCTTGACTATACAGGGCGAAAGTGTGATTACGCAAAATTAATGGGGTCCCACATTGCAGATCCCATATTGCATGCGCTCCAGGCAACCAATGGAGATCAAACTTTTTAAAATTCTTTTGTTCGATTGTTGGCACCATATGTTAATCACGACCGAAATATATGCAAGTAATCTTCCCAGTCAAATTATCAACACAATAAAAATCGACAAGAAATCAATCCATTGGAGCCTTCGACAATTTTCCCCAATTAAATTATCCTTCCCCTTATGAACCTAAGAAGTTGTCAAAGGAAAGCCTGCCAGAGGTTCGGTTTTTGAGGTGGCCTAAATAGTGGTTTTAAAACAGCAAACGCCTCGCCCCAAGCCACCTTGAATTTCACTTGAAAAAATAAGGACTTTTTATTCACATATCCAGAAGAAACAAAAACAAAAAAATTGCAAGTTGACCCAAAATAACCTTATACCTATTTTAATATATAATAAATTATTATATAATTTGAAATGCATTCGTTTAAATGAGGCATCTCTTTAACAAAACTTTTGTTGAAACAGAGATAGCCGAAGACCAGGGTTTAACACCCTGTTCAAGCCACCTTAAAAATGAAGGTCTGCAAAGCGAAAACAAAGGATCCACATTGTTTTTTTACTGCTTAATTATGGTTTTTTATTTATTTAAAATTCCAAATCTCCCAGCTGTTTCCACCTCTTCGCTTCCCAATCTTCCCAGAGGAACCAGGCCATTTTCAGAATCTTCCAGATTTAAGCTATTCGAGTTCCTATTTAAGGATATATTGGCGAATACGTCATCATCCACTTCAAAAGCATCAAAATATAACCTCCAAAAATTTATATATATTTTTTCGAACCACATATGCAGAGTAAACCACAGCTTTAAAATTTCATTCGTACTTTAAATTTGTATAAGTTAATAAAAGGTATAATAACATAACATTTATATGGATCCAGGGTAATTACAATTCTATTTTCAAATATCGCGTGCATAAGACTTCAAAGTTACGGTTTTCAAACTAAATTCAAGACGGCCTAAATCCAGGATTTACTATCCTAAAATATATTATCCAAACCACCTTAAAAATAAAGATTTACGAAGCGAAAGCACAAAATATATATTATTCTTTTATTATTTAAATATGGTTTCAAAAAAAAACAAATCAAAATTTCCCAATTATTTCCACCTCTTCGCTTTCCAAATTCATATAAGGAGTCAGATCATTTTCAGAATCTTCTAAGTTCGAATTACTATTAAAAAATATAAATTTTAATTGGGAAATACGTTATTATCCATTCCAAAAATATCAAAACATCGCCTCCCAGAATATATATATATGTTTTTAAAATCATACATACATAATAAACTAAAATTTTAAAATTTCATTCATATTTTAAACTTACACAAGTGCATAAAAAGTATACAATAATATTACCCAAATATCGCGCACATAAGGTTTTAGAACTATAGATTGCTACGTTTCAAAAATTATAAATTATTATATGTGGGTAGAAATTATCGAATAATTAATAAAAAGAAAATTAAAAATTACATTATAACTATATCTAAGAAAATACCAATTACCCCTTTCCATTCAAACAATATAAATTACATTTCTTAAATCACCAACTCCCACCCTTCAAAAATTACCTCCAACACAACCTCAAAAAACCTTTCCTCGATACACCCTCCTCCCCCAACATATACCGAATTTACGTGTACCTTTTGCGGACCACCCCCCTAATTATTCACTTCGTTCGCCAAGAAAACGGTTTGCAATACACAATAAACCTCTATTTTCTTATTTCTATTATTATCGATTTTTGGTTATATTCCAACTTTGATCCATTCAAAACCATAAAATTATAGATCGAAAATGGAACTAATTCTTTCTAATTATTGGATTTGTATTCTTTTGGTCAGCCAAAGTTCATTTTTCGGCTGTTCCCTGACTAAAAGAATTTTGGAAGCGCTCGAATTTCAAAGTTTCGAAGGTGGTCCAGCCTCAGGCGTAACATGTCCAAGGTGTCTGTCTATCATTCTTGAACCGCGATGTCGCATCCAGCCTCCAATTCGGCATAGAGTTGGTCCAGTTGTGCCTGGGCTTCGTCAGCTTCACAAAAGAATGTGTCACATAGACTCAATCCATGTGAACCCGAAGTGCCTGGTATTTCTCCTTGGCCTTGTTCCGTTGGAGCTTAAAGGTTGGTGTCAGCACCTCGCCACCGGGGTCCCAAGGTGTTGGCTCCAGGTAGACAGCCTCCAAGCAAGCGGCTATCCAGCAGCTCAAGCAAAACAAAGCACCACAATTGCTGTGGCCTTGATCACTTCAAAGCCGGAAAGCTTGGCCTTGGAAAAATAGAGCTTGGCCATGTAATTGCGACGGTAAAGCAGGAAAGAAATGCGCTTCGAAGTTGGCAGAACAAACAAACTTAAGTTGCAAACAGATCGAGCCAATTGCTGGAGATCGCTCAAAACAGCCTGCCGACATGATGAAGAATGCTTCTCCTGGATAAACATCTTCGTTCGGGCCTTCTTAAAGGCGGAATCTTTGCAGAGCTCTGCAATGGACTTTTGGGTGGCGTTCCTCAAGGAACCCATCTAAACTGATTTCTTTGCACCAAAGTGGCAAGCGCTTTTCTTGTTCCTAGTAGCTACTTGCTCCTAGTAGTAAGGCCAGGAGCCCCTAGTAGCGTCCTTGCTTCTAGTAGCGATGCCAGGAGCCCCTAGTAGCGTCCTTGCTTCTAGTAGCCACTTGCCCGGGCTGTTTTCTTTTCTGGCCACTCTCAGGTGAGACAGCTCAAAAGCATCAAGCAAATCCTTGAAGTGCCTGCAGGGCATGGACGCTGAGAGGAACATTGCAAGTCACAGACTAGCCTCACGCTTCAGGTATTTCTCCACTTCCAAATCGATGACCCACCAGGAGCCAACAGCCTTTGGAACTTCACCTGCTTGCTCGACAAAGATTGCAAATACCGCTCGACTTCCATTTCCACAAAGTTGGGCTGGCCTTCGCGCTGTTTCTCCAAACGCTTCAGAGCTTTTTTGTGACGATCCGACAGCAAGAAACCTCGAAGTTGAAAGGCAAACCCACAAAGCGGAAAGACATGGTTGCCCAAAGCGAGAAGATTTTAGGTCATTCAAAAGCTGCCTGGCCCTTCTTGTGTTCTGACCTGCCAGGATAAACCAAACATGAATGAATCGAAGCACAGTGTGGCCAAGCGCGCCTCTTCTGATCGCGGAGTAAAGCCATGTGGCTCATTTCTTGGCCTCTCCTTCAAGCAAGCGTCTGTGCGGAGACAAGAAAGACAAGACAGCAGAAAGAAAATAAATCAGTGGATGTTGACATCCAAACACCATCGCCCAAATGCTTTTCGCATGTCATCCATATGTCATCCATTTGTCGCCTCTGTCTTCGTCTTCTTCGATCTCTGCTTGGCTACAAAGGCCTCGAAGATCTCGTGGCGCCGACGCTCAGCGGCCAAGACACGTTCCCGACGCTCCTCCTGGCCAGCCCGGTGAAGGTCCAGCAGAAAGGGCAGCATAATCTGAATTGCAAACACGGAAAGAGCAGCGAAGAACAAAAGAACAGTCACCGAAATCCACTAACACAAAAGGCCGAGGCCTCTGCCATTGCAGCTGCATATCTTTTGGCAGATTCCTGTCAAGAAGGCTCGTCCTCATCAGGCTTTTTCTGCTACCAACTATTTCTCACTGGTTGGAGGCCATCGCTCTTGGGGTGGAGGCAATTGCTGGTAGGTTGCACATGGGAAGCTCTGATGCAGAGCCTCCTTTTGCTTCTGATCTCGCTCCTTTTGCAGCTTTGCTTCTGCCTGATGGCGTCCAACTTTGGCACTGAAGCGATCAATATCGTTAAGCATCAAAGCCGGGTGAGGATGTGCTGCAAACCATTTCCTCAATTATTCCCCAATAGCCATGCTATGGGGTCTTGCAAAACTAATAGGCGGACGGGCGCCGTCGGGTCACCGTCAGAGCTGGTGGGCGGATGGTGTCCCGGTCATGTTTTGATGGCGTCCGGGTCATGTGATGCTTGTCCCGGTCATGTTTTGATGGTGTCCCGGTCATGTTTTGAAGGTGTCCCGGTCATGTTGTGACGGTGTCCCGGTCATGTTGTGACGGTGTCCCGGTCATGTTTTGAAGGTGTCCCGGTCCTGTTTTGATGGTGTCCCGGTCATGTTTTGATGGTGTCCCGATCATGTTTTGATTGTGACCCAGTCATGTTGTGATGGTGTCCCGGTCCTGTTTTGATGGTGTCCCGGT